TGAGAGTACTGTTTTCTGGCATTGTTTTGATTTCTATCATTAGCAACAGAATACTTCTCACGTTGGAAGATGGCTGCCTCTCGGAGGCTAGGGGGAGATCCTCACTCCAGCCTCTGCCCTCTCTTCCCATCCTTCCCGCAGATGTGAGCCATTGTACTTTGTCTTAATTTGCACAGGATTCATACTGAATTCTGAAGAAAAGCCGTTGAGTCGTCAAATGTCAAAACAACAAAAAACACAAAATAAGAGGAAACAGATGTATGTGTACCCAAGAGGATTTAAAGAGGAAAATCATGATTTTCACATATGCACTGCTGCCACCAGACTCATTCTTTCTTCTGTTAAAGATCAGTGGGGAAAAATCACCGACAGCTGTCACAAAGCCCACTGTCAGATGTTTCTCTGGACGCGAAATGAGCTTTATGGACCAGCTCCTCAGCTGGTGCAATTCAGTGTTGCTCCACTCAAGTTATTGGAGCCATGCCAGTTTACCCCAGGTGCAAGGCTTCTTGACTCTTGGGTTGGTAGGTGATTTTATGTATTATGCAAAATCTTTGTGAATTCTCAAAAAATGTCACATTAGGCTTGGGTTTGAGTAATGCTGTAGGATAATGTGTCTTGTACACCATGAAAAGGAAATTAGGTTTAGTTTAGCAGCTTGTATGTGCAATTTTCTGGCTCTGGAAGCCTTGTTTCCATACCAAACATCAGACCTTTTCCAGCTTCTTTCCTATGTAAACTGGGTAAGAGACTGGGTGACTACAAAGTAAAGAACATGAAATTCTGCTCCAGCTCTAGATATCAGTGTTTCAAAGTGGAATATTCAGAGGAGTCTCCAATCTCTTTGTGAGATTATAATTATCCAGGACCACGTACACACGGGTACCACAGTCATTCGCCACCTTTATACACGTTGCAATGGGAAATTAATTTAAGATTTTTGTCTACACAATCTCAGGTCTCTACTGTTGAGCTAAGGGAGAGCCCCAGCAACTCGGGCAGAATACACAAGCAGGCCTGATGCATTCGATCCAGTAAAGGCTGGTGATCAAATACAAACAAGTCATTTCATCATACAGTGACAGTCCTAACAAACTTTTCAGACTCCAAGACCAGAATATGTTCCCTGTTCATTTGTTTCATGCCCTGAATAGTTAAATTCTGCTCATTAAACCAACATCCTCCATAAGGGTTCAGTTAATTTCCAATGTGAAACATTCATACAGCTTTATTGTAAAAAGCATTTTGAGATGAATCATCCAAAAGAACTTCAAGGTCACTATAAACTGAAGAAATTATGTTCAAAGCAGTCCTTGGGGTGCCTGTCCATCCTCGGTTCAGGGAGTTTTGAAGGTTGTGTTGGCAGGACAATGAAAGTCAATGGATTTCAGCTTGTGCACAGCTCCTCATTTGCCTTGATTTAAAGGTCCCAGTCTCAGTCCTTTATGGTGTATTTAGGCTTCCTTATAGGCCTCCAAGGGACCACAAGCTTCTTTATTCTTTTAAAAGTACACCTTGTTGGTGTAATTGAAGCTGTTTTGTTACTGTAATTCCTTCCTAATGCTACCATTCTAGTCAAGTGTTCTTTTTCCCTCCGGAGGCATCAGTTATTATGAGTTTTGAATAGGCCTCTATTCGGTATACATACTTTCACTCCCAATGCCAAAATCAGGTCACTGTTAGTAATTCTCTTTCTTCATGAAATAAGATTTCAGCTTCCTTCTTTAAAACCCAACATATAGCACGTGCCCTTTCCACTCCTCAGCATATTAATAGGTATTTAAAGCAACTCTCCTTTCAAAGAAAAAACAAACAATCTGGCAGTTTTCCCCTTATTTTCTTATTAAAATGTGAAATGTCTTAAATCAAGACAGAAGTTTATACAGTTTACACTACACATATTGAGCACGTGCTTATATTCTAGGGAAGGAACAGGAATACAATAAGCAGTAGTGCCCTTTTACAAAATTTCTCTAATAAAAATCAGAATGTCATGAAAATCATTGGCAAAATTGTCATTGTAAGCCATAATCGTCCAGAGGAGGAAGTATGATGTACTGCCTCAGAATGAGCAATTCCATGTATCCGTTTATATGGTCCTCATCACCATAGTATATGAGCACTTGACAATCATTAATGGACTTTATCCTTATAATATCCCTGTGAGGAGGGAGGTACTATCCCAGGGGTAGGCAACCTATGGCACGTGTGCCGAAGGCGGCACGCGAGCTGATTTTCAGTGGCACTCACACTGCCCGGGTCCTGGCCACCAGTCCGGGGGGCTCTGCATTTTAATTAAATTTTAAATGAAGCTTCTTAAACATTTTAAAAACCTTATTTACTTTACATACAACAATAGTTTAGTTATATATTATAGACTTAGAGAAAGAGACCTTAAACGTTAAAATGTATTATTGGCACGCGAAACCTTAAATTAGAGTGAATAAATGAAGACTCGGCACACCACTTCTGAAAGGTTGCCAACCCCTGTACTATCCCTATGTTATGATGGGGAACTGAGGCACAGGTCAGATTAAGTAGCTTGCTTGACTGAGAAGTCAGGTCTCTTGAGTCCCAGTGCAGTGCCCTGTCCCTAGACCATCCTTCCTATCCTTTAAAGGCATTGTGCCCTAGGTCAGTGCAGTCTCTGGCGTGTTGGGAGTATAGTTGTGACTCACAAATTGAAGGGCAGCCTTCATTCCCGTGGTATAGAATTACCTCTGTTTGCTGCTTAGGAGAAGTAGAGAACGCAGACCCACCATCACCCTTCCTGCTCTCTTTGGGAAGGCTAGTGCTGCTGTAAATACTAAACTGGGATAGTCCATGTGCTCCCTGGATGCAAGGGCTGGTATCATGCCCAAGTAATAGTGGGAGGAGAAGGCTCCTTGTGGCCTCTTCTCTTCTTCCCATTTGTGCATTCAGGAGAGCCAGACGCAATCTAGCCCCATATTTAGTTTTCAGAATGGCTGTAAAGAAATCCAGTGTTTCTCAAACAAACTTAAGGCACTCTATTATATAATAGATTATTCTTTACTAAGGTTATTTATTTCACAATATTCAACACTTGTATTTGGTATAAGTTTCCCATGTGAAATCCTAGATATTTGTACTTGTGTGTAGTAGTAATGACTCTGCTATCTGCCCCGGACACTTGTACTTTTCCTGAGACACCACAGCTGGGACATCTGGCACTAAGAATATGTTTTCAGCATCATTTCATAATTGGGGAGTATGACATTTGGGGTTCACCAGGGCAGTAAGTAGTTCAACCAAAGTCTGTCTTGTAACCCACGGTGTCTTTTGACTGTGCAGCTTTAATTCAGAGCTCTGACCCCAACAGCCTGCCAGCAGCCCACAAGCCTCACCCTGGCTTTGCCCAATTTGGATACTCCTTGCATTCTGACCTTAGGACCCTTTCAGTCCCAAATTTGCCCAAAATCGTCATCCTGCAGTCCCTCTCCCTGGATCCTCACCGAAAAAGTATTAGGTTCATGTCCCTCTACAGAGACAATATAACATTCCAACCTGTCAGCTTACTATAAGTACACAACTGAACTTACCCAGCGCTGATGATTTATAACAAAAGTAGTACAAATTTATTAACAAAAGAGCATGGACTAAGTGATCCCAAGTAAAAGAGATAAAGGTGAAGACGGCTACAGGCAAATAAAAGTGAAAACACCCATCTAAAAGTCTAAAACTTAGCCTAGTTTTTGTTCAGGATGGTTTCTTTCATCCATAATCTTCTTTCCAGCTTTTGACTGGCCAGGACTCTTCACAGAGATCAAATTGCTTGGTTTCTTTGTCTCCTTAAAGTGAAATAACTTAGGGGTTTGCTCCCCCTCTCTTTATAGTTCAGTGATCCATTGAAATTTATTCTTCTGAAGAGCACCCAGATAAAGTTCATTAGTTCAAGCTCAATAAAGGAGACATGAGGTATGGAAGATGACACTCCATCCTGGTTCTTCCCCCACCGGTGGTTGCTACTATGCTAATTCTCTCTCCGGCTGCAACCTCCACAACAGACCATAGACTTCGGGCCACACCTGATTTGAGATGTTTCCTTTGTCTGGAGAAAACCTGTTATGTCTTCCTGACATGCCTGGTCTGTAGACTTTTTATTCACAGACTCTAAAGCATAATATTAATGAGTGTCCATAATTTCACATAAAGCATTGTTACATATATTTCACAGCTATATTATTAACCACAATGTTATTAGTTTTCAAATGATGCCCCACAAGGCATATTTTGTACAAAAATCCTTGCAGTAGTATGTGAATATAAGAGTGGCACAGGTCACAGAGAGGATACCACAGCAACTCCCCAGGATAATCCTTGACACATCCATCAATTATCTCACAACACCTACTATTAAGCTATGGCACTGAACTGGCTGTGGGATGAATTATGTTATTAACAGAAGGCTATGGTTTTGCTTTATGACTTAGCTTGCAAGTGGAAGAGAGTGACACTCGTTTGTGATGGATCGATTGATGAGTAGCCATCCTGTCCTCTATCCTGTAAATCAGTTGTTGATGTGATAGGAGTAAAATGACTATGTAATATACTGTAAGCAGCTCCTATGATCCAAAAGCCCCCCCCCAAAAAAAAATCCTGCAAAATCAGTGCAATCCATATTTCTTGGAGTTAGGCATGATTTACCTAACTGTGCTTATGTAGCTTACAACTTTAATATATTTAGACTTCTTTCCTTTATTTATTAGGGATGTTTTCCTCATAAGAATGCACACGATGCTGCAGACTGAGACTGTCCAAAGGCAGCTACAATTTACTCATCCCATGATTTGCATATTTTGATTGTTAATACAAAATGAAAGGTATAATGTGGATGGGGAGACATATTGTATGGTATTGAGTGAGATTATTAAAACTTTTCTATGGTTGTCCAAGAGAATCTCAGTGACTTAGTTCTCCATTCTACTGCAGAATTTCTTCCCAAGACAAATGCCACACTGTGTTTGTGTGTTTTCTCATAGGAGGTCGAGCTGTGTCGTGTTAGCAGTCAAGAGAAGCTGGGGCTGACTGTCTGCTACAGAACAGATGATGAGGAAGACACAGGAATCTATGTCAGTGAGGTAAAGTTGTGGTGGGGGGGGGACTCAATGGAAAAATAGAAACAAGTGTTCTGAGTCCTGACTGCAGTAATACTGGCTGTCAGCCAGCACTTGTCACTTTCAATTAGGAGAGTTAATCATGTTGCCCAAGTAATATAATTATTACCAGCTTATTTGTTTAATGTGATGCTATAAATACAACATCATAATTAGGAAAAGTGCAAAATCGGCGCATTCTCTGAAATTTGAATGAAATCCCACGAATATGGGGGCAGCAAAAAGTTCTGATTTCCACACTTCTGTGTTCTCCCAATACTGCAGTCATGTTAACAATAACAATGGCTAATTTATTTTTACAATGATCACATATGTTCAAGGAAGAGGGGAACAGCATAAAACAATCTGTGAGATAAGTCTGTCAGAAAATCTAGTTTGTCCTAGCACTCGTCTTTGTTTTACAAGCTAACAAACAGAAGGCCTGATCCTGACACCTTGAGGTGTTGAACAATCTCAACTGCCATCTGCTTTAAGGGGAAGTGGGGGGAGGGATAGCTCAGTGGTTTGAGCATTGGCCTGCTAAACGCAGGGTTGTGAGCTCAATCCTTGAGGGGGCCATTTAGGGATCTGGGGCAAAAAATTGGTCCTGCTAGTGAAGGCAGGGGACTGGACTCAACTCAATGACCTTTCAAGGTCCCTTCCAGCTCTATGAGATAGGTATATCTCCATATATATTATAAGTGAGAGTATTTAGCACCCTCTAAGAGGTATTTAGCACCTTGCAATATCAGGCTTAGAAAGACTTTCAGGTGCATTAATTTAATGTTAGTCTCCAATAATTTTAAAGAGAGCAGTTTTTCTAGATGAGAAGACAAACATTTTATGAGTCCAAGCTGGGGGTTGATTGTCATGAGTGAATTTGATACACAATTTGTCAACTTCAGGTGACATAGCACAAAAATCTGAATGCCAGAAGTGGAGTGAGTTTAGCAGAAAGAATTGTCCTGCATTGCCATAAAGTGAATCACGTACAAATGGGAATGGAAAAAGATTGTTCTGTAACTGCCAACAACACTGTCAAAGTATGTGAAAACCACAGCCTTAGATAAAAAATTAGGGATTAGTATAAAACTTGCTAAGAATAACTCTTCCCACAGGTATATAAGCACTACTATTAATATCTGTTTGGCATTGTGAGGGGAAAAAAGGTAAAGGGATCTTATACCTTTATAGCTAAAATATGTTGCTTTTTCCAAATGGAGGGTATTGCTCTGCTTGGAATCTCTCAGCCCTTTCTTCAAAGGAAGTTTAATTCTATTAGAGACACAAGGTGGGTGAATTAATATCTTTTATTGGACCAACTTCTATTGGTGAGAGAGAGAGAAGCTTTCAAGCTTACACTGAGGTCATCTTCAGGTCAGAAGAGCTCTGTGTAAGCTCAAAAGCTTGTCTTTCTCTCACCAATAGAAGTTAGACCAATAAAAGATACCTCTCCTACCTTGTTTCTCTAATATCCTGGGACCGACACAGCTACAACAACACTGCGTATTGTGACAGACCCAGACCAGTGGGGTACAGGAGTCTGGTAGAGGGCAAATATACTGGTCACTGGATGAGTAGTTTTCTGTTCCCTGAGTGACCAGAGCAGGGGCTGTACTAGAGTAATCAGGAACCTGCTAGAACCAGTTAAGGCAGGCAGGCTAATTAGGACACCTGGAGCCAATTAAGAAGAAGCTGCTAGAATCAGTTAAGGCAGGCTAATCAGGGCACCTGGGTTTTAAAAGGAGCTCACTTCAGTTTGTGGTGTGTGTGTGAGGAGCTGGGAGCAAGAGGTGCAAGGAGCTGAGAGTGAGACGGTGTGCTGCTGGAGGACTGAGGAGCACAAGTGTTATCAGACACCAGGAGGAAGGTCCTGTGGTGAGAATAAGGAAGGTGTTTGGAGGAAGCCATGGGGAAGTAGCCCAGGGAGTTGTAGCTGTCACGCAGCTGTTACAGGAGGCACTATAGACAGCTGCAGTCCACAGGGCCCTGGGCTGGAACCCGGAGTAGAGGGCAGGCCTGGGTTCCCCCCAAACCTCCCAATTGACCTGGACTGTGGGTTCTTCCAGAGGGGAAGGTCTCTGGGCTGTTCTCCAACCCACATGGTGAATCTCTGAGGCAAGAAAATCCGCCAATAAGCTCAGGACCCACCAAGATAGAGGAGGAACATTGTCACAATATATTTAATTGTATTGTCTTTCATACTTGATTAAACTCTTCAGACTCATTTTTTGTCTGCAATGCACAATAAGAAAATAATATCTAACATCTGTACAAGATGTAACCTGCAAACCAAATGCAATGCTCAAAATGTTTAGGTTGAAAAATTGCTCTTGGCATGACAAGGTAAAATAAATGGTTTAAGATAACCATCAAGTGAAAGGTGATAGATAGTATTGCGCCTATGAAGAGCAGGTCATTGCTCAAGGATGAGCTATTGTGACTCTGATAAACTGTTAATGGAGCCCTAAATAGCTATTTATGCTAAGCTAATTTTAAATTAAGCAACTTAAATCAGACCCGGTGTAGAGGATCCATGAATGATCTCTATACTGTAGATCTTTCTTTGTTTTTCTTGTAATTCTTTGGGAACTGAAAAATCCACAGCTTGATAGCTGATACAATCATTTAAAAATAAATGTTTTCAGAAAAGGAGATTATACCATCTCCTTAAGCAGACATAGACCTGCTGTGGGGAGATATCAACCACTCATTAGCAAGACTTCAAAATCACCTCAGCCCAAAGTGAATTTCCAGAGCCTAAGAATTCTGTCATTAATACTCTGCTCTATGACAGCTGAAGGTTAGTGCTTGACAGTCATGTGGAAAAATATTGTTCTGAAAATCATACACCAGCTCAACCCTCTCTGTATTTAGATTTGTTTTATAACAAGGTTCTGTGATTATTCGCAGAACTGCTATGTTCATCTGACTGAATAAAGATTTAAACTGTCTTTCCACAATGTAAACAATGGCATTTTTACAAATTCTACAAATTGAGTTGTTTGAAGTTAAGACCTTTTCATGCTCAGTTTTTGAATACTGTCCTATGCAGGTTGATCCAAACAGCATTGCTGCCAGAGATGGCCGGATCCGAGAAGGAGACCGCATTCTGCAAGTATGTGTCTATAAACTCTTTTTTTCCCCTGAGCTTCTTTCTGAAAAACAGTACAGTGAAGTCCTCACTGTGGATTGGTGATGAGAGAGAATTCTTTGTTGTTCTGATGCATGGAAAAAACTATGTCTGTCTCTTTCTTAAGACAATAGCTGGGATTTAGAGTACGGGTATTGAAAAAAATGAGAGACAAACTTGCTCTGTCTGATGATCCTATGTCTTTTTTGCCATATTCATGAGAAATCTCATTTTTTCTCTTGTTCATCTCAATGTCATTTTCTAAATAGGGCTGCTGCAATCATAAATATGCGTGAGATTGCTGATTATTCTTTGATAGCATACATTTGGGTAAAACTTACAGCAGTGGTCCCCAAACTTTTTACCTCATGCCCCCGCTTACCTCTGTCTCAGTTCTCTCTCCCCCTCCCCACTCCCACCCCGGAGCTGGGAGCAGGGCCACGGCTCCCGGGGGAAAGGTGGACGGGATAAGGGCGCCGAGGCTGGGACCACAGCTGGGGTCAGGGTCAGGGCTGGGAGTGGAGCCTTGGCCACAGCCAGGGCCCTGGGTGTGGGGCCAGCAGCCAGGATGCCAGCAGCCGGGCCCAGGAGCAGAGGTGGGTTGCGCTCCCTCCCATGGAGGCTGACCCAGGCCCCAGCTGCACCCCCCCCCCACTCCCTCGAACATTCCTCTGCACCTTCCAGGGCAGTGTTTTTTGAAGTATTGGGTTGTGACCCATTGGGTCACAGAATGTCAGGCACTGGGTCACATTTCGAATTCAAATTATAATGATCGTTGCTGCGCAGCAGCTCTAAAGGGCCGCGCAGCAAGGACCTGGAGAGGAGAGAGGTATGGGGTGAGTTGGAACAGGGGATGGGAGCAAGTTGGGGCTTGCAGGGCTGCTGCGGGCCTCTCCCCCGGCCCCGGAGCTCGCTGCTGCCAACAGGGAGAGAGGGACCCTTCCACTGGAGCTCCGTGTAGAGGGAGAGAGAGGCCCTTCCCCTGGAGCTCCGTGCTTCCTGCCCGTGCGGGGAGCTAGCTGCTGCTGGCGGGGGGAGAGGGCTGGGGAGAGTCCTGTAGCCCCAGCCTAGGGCAGCCTGCCTGCACCGCAAACTCCTGATCCCCAGCCCCACCCCAGAACCTGCGCCGCCAGAGCCCTCACCCCCACCACATCCCAACCCTCTGCCCCACCCCTGAGCCCCCTCTTGCACCCTGAACCCCTCATCCCCAGCTCCACCCTAGAGCCCTCACCCCCAGACAAAGCCCTCACCCCTGCACCCCACCCTCTGCCCTACCTCCCACACTCCTTGCCATAGGCTTACTAAGGCCAGTGTCTAGTGTTAGTTATGTAAAGTGGGATAAGCAAGAATGTATTTTATGAAAACTCTAGTCAAAAGGTATAATTATGTTGGGTCACAGGCATCAACAATTTTCATTCTTTTTGCCCCACAGTTTGGGGACCTCTGACTTAGAGTAATATTGAGCATGGATCAGAAGCTTTTGAGATTGTGATTCTAAAGGCCATTCCTTAATGTTCTGGAGGGGGGGCTTACCTGATGTCTATTCTTTTCTCTCTCCACCACTTATAACCGAACCTTTCTGATTTCGCTGGTGATCCACCATTCAGCCAGTTACAGTAACTCCTCATTTAACGTTGTCACACTTAATGTTGTTTCAATGTTACGTCCCTGTTCAATTAGGGAACATGCTCATTTAAAGTTGTGCAATGCTCCTTTATAACGTCGTTTGGATGCCTGCTTGTAAGATTCTGTGGAAGAGAATCGACTTTACAAAGGAGCATTGCACAAGTTCCACTTCTCCGCCTCCTCCCCCTCCCTCCCAGCGCTTCCCCCCCCCCCCCGTTTGGCGGCGCTTAGGACTTTCTGGGAGGGAGGGGGAGGAGCGGAGACGCAGCGCTTCCCCGCTCCTGCCCCTCACTCCCAGAAAGTCCTAAGCGCGAAGTGCTCGGAGGAAGGGGGAGGAGCAGAAAAGCCCTGCGTCTCCACTCCTCCTCCTCCCTCCCAGAAAATCCTAAACGCTGCTAAACAGCTGTTTGGTGGCACTTAGGACTTTCTGGGAGGGAGGGGCAGGACCGGGGAAGCGCCGTGTCTCCAAATTTCCTTGGAACTGAACCTAACCCTCCGCATTTACATTAAATCTTATGGGACAATTAGATTCGTTTAACATTATTTCACTTAAAGTTGCATTTTTCAGGAACATAATTACAACGTTAAGTGAGGAGTTACTGTACTCTTTTTATTCTTCGTTTCTGATGATCCAGGGGTTTCTACATGGCGCCACAGTCCACACTACAGGGATGTAAATTATAGAGCTCTCTAACGTGCCATGCTTTTGCACCCCCCCCCCCCCCCCCTTAAACCCTACTGGTGCAAACTAAAAGGTACCTCGCTCATGTTAACAGAGTTCATGAACTAGGTACCTTTTAGTTCTCACCAAGAGAGTCTAGAAGAGGCATTAGAACACAACATATTAGCGCTCTTTGCAATTCAAACTTCTGTAGTCCGGACTGCGGCTCTGTGTAAACAAGCCCTCAGATTGTTCTGCCCCTCCAGATTTGAGCTGCATTTCTCAAATAAAGCACAGTGCCTGCCAGCAGGCCTCACTATCAGTTGCCTTCAACAATAACAGCAGGAATAAAAAAATGCTCTGAAGCCTAAGGAGTGGTTAGTGTCAGCTCTCTCTACATATTTATCTAGCAAGGCCCTCTCACAAAATAATGATATTCACAAGAAGTACAATCATTGTTCGTGCAAGTAGTTCTTCAGTAAACAGGCAAATTGGTTGAAATTATAGTAAAGAACAGAATTATCATACACACAGATGAACACGATTTGTTGGGAAGATCAACACTGCTTTTGTAAAGGGAAATCATGTCTCACCAATCTGTTAGAATTCTTTGAGAGGGGTCAACAAACATGGACAAGGGTGATCCAGTGGATAAATAGGTTTCAGAGTAGCAGCCGTGTTAGTCTGTATCCGCAAAAAGAACAGGAGTACTTGTGGCACCTTAGAGACTAACAAATTTATTAGAGCATAAGCTTTCGTGGGCTACAACCCACTTCTTCGGATGCATATTGAGTGAAACATATCGAGGAGATATATATACACACATACAGAGAGCATGAACAGGTGGGAGTTGTCTTACCAACTCTGAGAGGCCAATTAAGTAAGAGAAAAAAAACTTTTGAAGTGATAATCAAGGTAACCAAGTACAGACAGTTTGATAAGAAGCAAGTGTGAGAATACTTACAAGGGGAGATAGATTCAATGTTTGTAATGGCTCAGCCATTCCCAATCCCTATTTAGCCCTGAGTTGATTGTGTCTAGTTTGCATATCAATTCCAGCTCAGCAGTCTCTCGTTGGAGTCTGTTTTTGAAGTTTTTCTGTTTTAAGATAGCCACCCGCAGGTCTGTCATAGAATGGCCAGACAGGTTAAAGTGTTCTCCCACTGGTTTTTGAGTATTATGATTCCTGATGTCAGATTTGTGTCCATTAATTCTTTTGCGTAGAGACTGTCCGGTTTGGCCAATGTACATGGCAGAGGGGCATTGCTGGCACATGATGGCATATATCACATTGGTAGATGTGCAGGTGAACGAGCCCCTGATGGTATGGCTGATGTGATTAGGCCCTATGATGGTGTCACTTGAATAGATATGTGGACAGAGTTGGCATCGGGCTTTGTTACAAGGATAGGTTCCTGGGTCAGTGTTTTTGTTCAGTGATGTGTGGTTGCTGGTGAGTATTTGCTTTAGGTTGGGGGGTTGTCTGTAAGCAAGGACAGGTCTGTCTCCCAAGATCTGTGAGAGTAAAGGATCATCTTTCAGGATAGGTTGTAGATCTCTAATGATGCGCTGGAGAGGTTTTAGTTGGGGGCTGAAGGTGACAGCTAGTGGTGTTCTGTTATTTTCTTTGTTGGCCCTGTCTTGTAGGAGGTGACTTCTGGGTACTCGTCTGGCTCTGTCAATCTGTTTTTTCACTTCAGCAGGTGGATATTGTAGTTTTAAGAATGCTTGATAGAGATCTTGTAGGTGCTTGTCTCTATCTGAGGGATTGGAGCAAATGCGGTTATATCTTAGAGCTTGGCTGTAGACAATGGATCGTGTGGTGTGTCCTGGATGGAAGCTGGAGGCATGTAGGTAAGTGTAGCGGTCAGTAGGTTTCCGGTACAGGGTGGTATTTATGTGACCATCGCTTATTAGCACAGTAGTGTCCAGGAAATGGACCGCTTGTGTGGATTGATCTAGGCTGAGGTTGATGGTAGGATGGAAATTATTGAAATCATGGTGGAATTCCTCAAGGGCTTCTTTTCCATGGGTCCAGATGATGAAGATGTCATCAATGTAGCGCAAGTAGAGTAGGGGCGTTAGGGGACGAGAGCTAAGGAAGCGTTGTTCTAAGTCCGCCATAAAAATGTTGGCATACTGTGGGGCCATGCGGGTGCCCATAGCAGTGCCGCTGACTTGAAGGTATATATTGTCCCCAAATGTGAAATAGTTGTGGGTGAGGACAAAGTCACAGAGTTCAGCCACCAGGTTAGCTGTGACATTATCGGGGATACTGTTCCTGATAGCTTGTAGTCCATCTTTGTGTGGAATATTGGTGTAGAGGGCTTCTACGTCCATAGTGGCCAGGATGGTGTTTTCTGGAAGATCACCGATGGATTGTAGTTTCCTCAGGAAGTCAGTAGTATCTCGAAGATAGCTGGGAGTGCTGGTAGCGTAGGGTCTGAGGAGAGAGTCCACATAACCAGACAAGCCTGATGTTAGGGTGCCAATGCCTGAGATGATGGGGCGTCCAGGATTCCCAGGTTTATGGATCTTGGGTAGCAAATAGAATGTCCCTGGTCGGGGTTCTAGGCATGTATCTGTACAGATTTGTTCCTGTGCTTTGTCAGGGAGTTTTTTTAGCAGATGGTGTAGTTTCTTTAGGTAATCCTCAGTGGGATCAGAGGATAATGGCTGGTAGAATGTGGTGTTAGAG